CCTCAATAAAGCTTCATATGTCCCAACAGGCCAACAGCCTATCGTTAAAGAAAACAGCGCAAGTTCCACAATAAGAGCACATGCTCAAGCGCAAGCTCAATGCAGTATGCGCATAGATACACAAGCACACATTCAGTACATGCATTCCACTCCACACCAACACTTAGTACGACCGCATACACCCATTCGCAGGTCAATACAAACACAGACAGCGGGCAGTCGCTTGCAATTTAGGATACATATGTCCAGGGGACGATGGCCACTTTCGACTGGCAGGTAAGTCTGCTGACTCCGGATTGTGACCAAGGCTCTAAAACTGAGACCGCGTCGCCACGCACATGTAGTGCCGAGTGTGTGAGAGGGTGCGGAGTTGGTGAACTCTCATAAGACCTGGCTATCTTGACCAGCTGATTGGAAGCCTGACTACGAAGTACGAACTGTTGGTGGATCAGATTCAGAAAATGTCAAACGACTAACGGCAGGGCCACGTCCTGCTGCCCTTCCCAGTTCCCATTTCTCCCATCTACAGGGTTACCACCTGTCACTTACCAGCCCATCCGTCCACAACTCGGGCCTAACACCATCAGTTGACCGTCCTTCCCATTCGTCATCTCTACCAACCACAGGGATACCTGCCCCCCCCCCCCGTCCGGCATCCCCGCTCTCCCGTCTTCCACCCGTCTGCCACCTACACTGGACCACCAGTCCTCCGTTCCATTACCCCTGCCATCTACAGGGCGACCTCAGCGGCCCATGCAGCCCGCGCCCGTGTGTCGGCGTGCGGTGCGGTGGTACGCGGCGGTACACGCGGCCGGACGGTGACGTACTGTACTGGACAGGTGGCGGCCTTGTACCTGTCCTCGTAGTACTGGGACGGCGCCGGTGCCGAGCCCGACGACGGCGACGCCTCGTAGTACGGCGGCGAACTCTCCCGGTACGGCGGCTGTAACACGGAGGTGGGAGGTCAGAACACGGCGGCGGGCCAGACAGGCTGCTATCGTTGCTCCTGGCATGGTCTTCATGATTGCAAGGCGTGTTATGGTAGGAGCATAGGTAACCCTACAGATAAAAGTGATGTTATAATTGAACAATGGTTCTGATTTGAGCTCCTTGCGAACCCGGAACATCAAACTTTTGCCGATAACACAATTGCTAATCCTGAATCCTCTGAGCTTCAATCAACGATTCGTCGATAAACCCTCTGCGATGAATGGTGAAGTCCTAGCCTTTCACTCGCCTGCTGCGAGTAGCTGTGCTGCTGCTGCGACTGCTGCTGCGGAGGGTAGTAGTCGGGCGAGCGGGCTCTCTGCTGAACCGGCGGCGGCTCCGGGTCGTCGCTGTAACTCTTGGACGGCTGCTGCTGCTGCCGGGCACGGGCGTCAGAGCAGTCAGGCCGGGTATTAAACGTACAGTAGGCTGGGGTTGGGAACCGGGAGGGGTTTAGAAGGGTACTGCGCTGGAGTAGGCTGCGGGCGGGGCGGCAGGATGGAATAATGGCGGGAGGATTCACACACTAACGCCAGGATGATCTGTTTCCGTGCCAAAGAATAAGGGATCGCCTGTGCCTGCCATAAGCTTTTAAGCTAATTTTGTTTACCAATGAGCGCGAACTCAAATATGCGAACACATCATTAGCAACTAGAAACGCGTTTTGAACATACCGAAACCTGAATTAATGAAACGAGAATAAACACCCTAGACAAACACTCGGAGACACAAATAGAAGCTGAAAGCAGGTAACAAAGCCGGTCCAGGATAAGTCAGCTGGGCAAAAGCAGGCAGCAAATGCAAGACAGGGTAATAAAGGTAGAAACTTAGAAGCAGGTTAGAAATTAGAACGCAAGACAAAATACTTATGAACTGATAATGCAGAGCAGACATTTGTCTGGAATGATGTGGGAAAGCGCGCTAAGTGGATGACAAGCGTGGGTTACAGCCACGGTCACTCTCATTCGGGAATCACGGTGGGAGGGGGGATGTAATTAGACACTAGGCTAAAAACCAGATACCCGGTTTCAATACACAAATTGTTTATACGGAACATTTCACGTTCACTTAGTGCACAGAAGACGTTGTAGAGGGCGCCACCCTCGACTTTCGCTGGGTTCGTCCACCTCGAGGCATATCAGACGGGCAGGGCGGCCGGGGTAGTTAGCACAGTCCGCATACCCACACACTCGCGCACCATTCACATGTTAGTGGGTTCAGGGCTGGTAGCGTTAGTACAGCCTGACGGCCGCGGGCCGAGACCCCGGCCGGCGAGCACAGACTGGGGCGGCCGCTGCCGGGCCGGTACCTGCTGGTATCCGTAGCTGCTGGCGTGGCTGGAGCGGCGCGAATCCGACTCCTGGCGACGGTACTGCTGCTGCTGCCGCTGACGCTGCATCTGTCCAGGCACCGGGGCCGCCGGCCGGCGATACAGCACCTCTACGGGAGCGACCCCTATCGTACGGGAGACCGGAGAGGGCGAGCCCACGGCCGGAGCTACATAGACCACTATTGGGGATCCCAGATGGTCTGATCGTACCATCTTAGTTACAAATTAAGAGAGGCAGCGCTGAACATCAATAGGTAAAAACCACATAATTCGGTGGAGCACAATTCACACCACTTAGCTCCCATGTGCAATGATCTAACAAAAAGTGCCAACACCTGCAACAGGCTGGCCGTGGATCGGTCGGCCGGCCAGCTAAACTCGCCGTTTTCACGAAGACGGTACCTTTCACGCTGGTTATCCAGGGACCAGTCCCGACCCGGAGGTGGGGTGCTCACCTCCATAGCATCCTGCGGGTGGACCAGGTCCTCGCCGTGGATCATGGCCTGGTGCACCTCCTCACTCTCGACAGGCGCGTTGTCCAGCTTCTGCAGGTGCGGCAGCGCGCGCAGGATCGCCAGACGGTAGCCCTCGCGCTTGGCGCACGGGTTGTCCGCCAGCCAGAGCGCCTTCAGCTTGGGGAGCTCCTTCAGGTAGACAACCTGGGCAGACAGAGTTAACAATTAAGCTTCTTAGCCAGTGTAGGCACCATAACCATAATGCAGTGCCAAGGTCTTCATCTATGGATACAAATTTTAAATCAACCTTGACAGTTCAAAAGGTAAAAATTAACAACTTATTCTTAAACTACAACATACCTCTGCACTCCACAGACATAGGGTCTCTGACTATAATTGATGGACATTGACTTTTCATGAGGGTGGGAAGGGAAAGGTATAATTCTGAAAAACAGCTTTGTTGCTCATATCTACTGGGCAAACAGCACACAATATGTGTTTACACAATTAATTACCTCATTAAGGTCCTGAATGTTGTTCTGTCGAATGTAGAGCTCTGATAGGTTCTGGCAATGCTGAAAGTCAGCCAATGTGCTGATGTTGTTTACACTGTAAAAATGCAAGGAACAAATGAGACAGCAACAAAACATTCTAGCACTAGCATTCAAATATTCAAGTCCAAAACATTGTATATTGCTGGCAGAAAAATTTACTGCATCTATGAAACACAACCTTTAAATAAAAAATAACTGCTTTTATTGCACCATTTTACTGCTTAAATAGCTAAGCAATGTTTTAAGTATGTGCTAGCTCGCTACTATCATCTCCTGTCCAAATAAAAAGACATGTCAGTGATTCTAGACAAATGCCTACACAGAACAGTGAACCCACCTGAGGGCTAGAACTTCAATATTTGGGAGCTTCCTAACAACTGCAACATCTGATATCTCGCTGCCCCTGTGAACATAACCAAATGGGGTCACTCACAAAACCACTAGCCTTGAGACAAAGTCAGTGGCAAAATGTCATGTCACCCAACTTGCCATCAGTGGCATACATAGCTCAAGATTCTTGGTGCACAAATAAAAGGTGATTGTGACCAGTGCTCAAGCTATGGTACACCAAGTCATGTGATTGCTTAGACCAAACAGCTAGATATGAAACACAAGTGAGTTTTATGGCTTACATATCACAACAAAACTTGCCAGTTGCCATAACCAGCACCTTATGGGAAAATACACTAAAAAGAAACTTATAAAAGCAATATTCAAAGTGATTGATTGTTAACTGCTCTTAGCCAGAAAGGCAGCAAATATTGCCCTGTTATTAGATTATAAATTGCAAACTTTCAATTCACAGCTTATTTCACATTGGAAGCTGGAGTTCAATGTTATGATTCAGGATCTCTTGGTCAGCATTGACCAAAAGATCCTGCCTGTTTAGGCAGCTCTCATTTGCTTTTGAGTTGATAAACTGACCAGCAGTTGAGCTTCCTGATGCTGTTGAGCTCAGCTCCACGACTCCTTGCTACCACCATGTCTTCCGTCAGCTTCATGGCCGCTGTTCCACAACCTGGCTTGCTCAACCCATATAGCTAGGAAATGAAAGAGAAATTTCATGAGTAAACACAAGACAGAAAACAGGTGGTTCATCATCAGGGCATTTTACAACTCCTACTCAGTTATGATTGTACTCATGTTTGTTGTTTGACATTTAGGTATTAGTATATATAAGGTCCGAGTGGCGAACCGATTATCAAAAGCATACTATACGATGTATTTTGACCTCCTCATTTCATATCTGATAGTTATTCCTTCTGGAACCAAGTATCAAAGCACCTATGAAATACTTACAGTTACCGCAAATCGCTACCGCACTCCACACACCAGCGCAATGTGCCGGGCGGCAATTACTTGCGCAAAGCTGGCCAAGGTCAAGTAAATCAAGGATGATATCTAACAGTTGCTATTCAACTGTGAATAATGACGCCATAATACTTCTCGCGGCGAAGCAGCGCAGTGCCGAAGGCAATGCCTTAGGAGAGATTACAGGCAAGATTAAATCAAATATTTTTAGGTTAAGTGGTTATGTACCTATCTGGCTTCAGGCCTTCGGCCTGAAGCCTGATGCATGACCACTTAACCTAAAAATATTTGATTTACTCTTGCCTGCAATCTATTCCTGCAAGTAACTTTTTCCTTATCCCCGGTAGGCAAACATCAGTAGGTTAGGTTAGGTTAGGTTCCTTTTTTGTAATTATGACGTCACTTTCATCACACCATTCGTATCGTTTTCTTTTTCCCCACCCAAAACCCCTGTTCCTAAAATTTCCCCTGAAATGGCAGCAATCCACATATGGCAGCGCTACAACGCCCACGTTTTTCATTTGTCGCGTGTTAATGCCGCCGGGTGGTATTGTAGTGAAATGGGTTGGTGATTTGGTGTTTTTTTCCACGTTTCCAGTACATGTAAGTATCATTTTTGGATTCAGGATGTCAAATAATGTAAGAATGTGAAAACTTTATCTTTTAACAGGCACTCGGACCTAACGTATACTTTTACCGACATTTGTTCCCGCATTAAAGCCAAATACATGGAAGGCTGCTGTTTTTCACATGCTTTATCATACAGAGCATTTAGCTTATAACAGCTATACACACAGCATGAACACTGAAATGTGACAGGCCTTGACTGTGATTGGCCTACAATGACCCCACCATGCATAACACCTCAGTAGGCGGAACTATGGTCAAGCGTACCCATTTTCGGGAACGCATTTTCGTTCCCATGTTTGGGAACGATAAACCCAAATATGGGAACGCCATGTAGGAATTATTTAAAACAAGAAAAAGAACCGTTAAATGACGTCCAAAAAATATAAAACGATCGTGAACCGCCTGATATTTGTCTCAATATTGTTGGGAAAGAGTTTGATATTGTAAGGCCCATCGTAGTTTCAAATCGTTTCCCTATTTCTAAAGCAGTCCATCATCCGGGCCGCGAACCCAAATTTGGGAACGCTCTCGTACACTGGCGCTGCAAGCGTTCCTTATTATGGGAACGGCGTACCCAAAATTGGGAACGATTTCACCGACGCCTTTCAGGGGCTCTTTTCATTAACAAGCATCATGTCCAACGCCGCAAATTATTGTTAAGCAACAATCATCAGATGACCTTTCCGGCAAGACCGTCGCATGTTTCGCCCGGTCTTCTGCGCTTTTATTCCCGTCGATCTCGCAGCGGGCACGCCCCCCTCTGCAGGATTACGTAATTCACAACGCTCAGCGATGTTCAACAAGGTCTTCCATACCTATATCCACCGTCCGCGCCGAGGGTGGAGACATGTCAAGCACCTGTCTGATTATCACCGATAGATGACGAGCACAAGGAAGTATCCAAAAATGGGAACGCTGAATATGTTACACCCTCAAAACACCTAGTCCCATGGAAAATCTAGTTTTTTCCTTTCTTAATGAGTGTAAGTGGCAAAATGCCTGGTAGGATGGGCACGAGGAATGATCGAAATCAGCATAAAAATTATAAATAAGCCACACAGAGCGACCTATATAAGAGAAATTCCCCCAAAACGATCATGCTTAGAAACACGGAAGACAAAAACCACGCTCATGACGCTCCTTATAAAACAATGCTAAACAGCTAGCATCCAAATAAAATATGTCTTTCCGGGTTGATAAAATACAGCTGAATAATTTTAAACCACTGAAACTGAGTTTACAACAGTAGTTCGGTAAAATCACTGACGTTCCACGCGGTCGTGCGCCCCGAGACCAAAAGTCAACAATATTACCTCGGGACTGTCCGCGTGTTCGCTTGCATATGTCAGCATCTGGTGTCGCTAGTATGAAACTTCATAACCAGGCGAAAATTATTATACTTGACCTCAAAATGTAAAAAACGCTTCGTTTTCCTTTAAATTGCATGTTAAATGTAGTATAACCCATGTTTTCACCATTCCGTCATTTCAAAAAAATCATTAAAAATATCATTCGACGGTCAATTTCCTTGTTCAACGGTCAGATTAAAGATAATTTTATAGAGATTCGGTAGATACTTAAATTAGCGTGCACTTTTTTGAGACGTGATGCACTAATGAGTTTTAGTGGGCGAACGGCCGAAAAATTACCTTCCGTTCCCGTAAATGGGAACGCCCGTTCCCATATTTGGGAACTCCGTTCCCAAAAATGGGAACGTTCCTATATTTGGGTACTCATGACCATAGTTCCACCTACTGACCTGAACACCTGTTCAGGTAACACCACAACTTTGGGCATCTTGGAATAAACCAGTAAAACACAGAGAGGCGATTCACATCAAAAATAGAAAAATGATCCACAACTAAGAAATCCTGTGAAGCAAAGCAACTGGAAACAACATATTGATATAAGCAACACTGCTGATCACTGAGCCATAACCTCAACCTGAGCCGCTTCGCCACCAGCAGCAAAAACAGAGAAGGTCCCTTCTTCAATCTCACTCTCCGTACCTTCACACTTCACAGTACCGAAAAAAATTGTGAGTCCTGTCTTAGGAAAACTGGCAGGTTAGCATCATTTAGTTAATGATTTCAGTAAGCATTCCAGTCCAAAGGACACCTATCCCAAACCTATCCCAACCTATCCGTTCCACTCATCACCACCCGAGAAACATCAACAACATTTAGATCCATTTGCGGCGCGGCGCGCCATATTACGGCACGACTATAGTAGAGATACGACCACTAAATTCAGTGTATGTACCTAATAATTCATGTATTGCGTGCCAGCAAACAGTAGCGGCGGAATACCATCAGTTAAGGGGAAAAGGGGGGAGGGCGGGGGGAAATGCCGACTTTTGGTCCCATTCTTTCCATTTTAACATAGCCCATAGGGCTAATGTTAAAATGCCAAGGGGGCACGGTTCCTCCCCGTTCCGCCGCCTATGCCAGCAATTAGAAGCCGTAAAGGAGCTGGCACCCCTTTTATGCATGCAAGCCCACTTAAATAGAACGCCTAAACTACGAAAATTTGATCTTTGACAGTCCGAACAGTCAACAGTGCCATTTTATGGCTGGATGGGTAAGTTCATGGTCAGGAATAGAGGTGCCCTTTTCGGGGATCCCTGGTAATCCAAGTCCCTCAACCCTTCTCCAGATACCCACAACTATCCGCATGGGGAACTTCATTGGTAGCAGCCCGCAACAACCCGCATAGCAGCCAAAAAGCTTTTCCACTTTCTAGTCATATTTTTCCAGGGCATCTTACTGCGTATGTGTATTCTAGGCCTTCCTGCAGCATATTCATTTTCCATTTTCAAGGGGAAATCTTATTTTGTTTTAGCTAAGAAGTTTCTGATATTTTTTATGCCCGCATAAACCCGCACCAGGGTATTTCCTGGTGATACAACCCGCTTAAACCCATGCGGGTTTTGTCTACCCACTCATTGCGGGCTGGTGGGTCGAAAGAGGGCACCTCTAGTCAGGAACGTCGTACCTACAGCAGAAATGCCAGAAATGCGCTCGGTTGATGTGAAGAGTCATGAACCTTTCCGTCACCCAGTTAGTAGAACATCGGACCCCTAGTGGTGAGTCACCCTGACGGGCCTGACGTGGATGATCTGCGGTTAGTGGAAGCCAGGGTATATAAAACAACAGTGGAAGCAGCCAGTTGATGTCAGTGTAGGCTGGGACGGACGTCGAAAGACGGAATATCACAAATCACTTCAGAACATTCCAGTCATTTTTTTTTTTCGGTTGGGTCAAGGGAATGTACCAAATCTGAATTCTGACCCAACTTCAACGGCTTAGCCTTCATACGGCAAAAACCATCGAAGTTAACCCGCGCACCGACGGGGGTCTGCGACAACTTAGAACCGACGGGGGGGGGGGGGGCGGATGACCACCCCCCCCCCTGAGATCTCGAGAACGAAGCAAGATAGCGACAAGCAGTAAACGGCATGGGATACGCACGGACAAGTTCTACAATTTTTACTCAGGTCACTTTCAGGTTAGGTCAAAGATGACGTCACAGGGGTCAAAAAAGTAAAATGGCGGCGCTATTTATGGAGAGGATTTTTCTCGAATAACTTTCGAACTAGTCAAGGTAGGAACAAACTAAGGGCATCATCGTGATCCGCTCGTCAATCCGCATCGAACCATATATATGTTGACCTCGAAAGGTTAAAAGGTCAAAGGTTGACCTAAGGTCATGTGACCTCGAGGTCATCATGTGTATCATTCGATGCACCTTGACGAGCTGAACACAATAAGACCATCCGCACGGCTGTATCTTGTTCCTGTACGGAGTTATTGGCAAAAAAAACCTTTGGTGAACTTTGATGACGTCACATGACCTTAGTACAGCTGCCCAACAGCAAAACAGACCTCAAGGTAGTGAAGGTTGATCGTATATGAAGTCATGTATGGTTTATGGGGCCATTCCGACCCGTTTTAGTGGTAAAAACAGGGGATTGCTTTTCCCCCATTGACTTATACCTAATAGGGAGGTCGAGAAATTGACCTGACCTTAGGTCATCGATATCGAAATTCCGAGATATACAAATTGTAGCTACTAATGACCTTATAAAATCCTGCGACTTTTAAAGGCCTCCGACATCTACTGTAGCTCTGGCACGGTGACAAAGTTGCAAAAAGGTGACTTGAGGTTAGGTCAATCAAAGTGACCTGGTGACCTCACCTTAAAAGTTAGGAGGTTCAAACTTGCACAACATGTGTAAAATTGATGAGAGAATAGTCGTACCAAATTTCGCACCTCAGGGGGGGGGGGCGGATATCCGCCCCCCGTCGGTGTGCGGGTTAACAGTTTAAAAAGTTGTTTTGTACTAACTTTTGGCTGGGAGCAACTGCCATATTCGATTGAATACATGACGAATCTCCATCTGCGGTCACATAGGTAGGTAACTGGCTCAAAATATGGCTCAATAACGATCCTCACGTTGTTCCGCGTTTTCGCTCTCTGCAAAAATGTCTGATTAACGTATTTATGAATGACGTTTCACGGCTGGAAACAGTCTACTAGGCACTCGATAACCACTTCAATTAAATAAAATTAAAAATGGATACATAAATAAAAAAGGAAACAATCCAATCATGAACTTACTTAAATACTGCCAAGAAGGATAAGAAACAGCGAACTAACTGCGCACAAGTGGATACAGTCTTTATTGCTCAAAGCAATACGACAAAGACCAACAATCCAGATCGACAAATTGTCAACACATAGCAGTTTGCATGTTGGGGGGAGGGGGGGGGGGGTTACCACACAATTAGGCGGCAACAAGTCGCTCAAAAACCGTTATCACCAAGCCGAACTGAAGTTATCACTGCGGCTAGCAGGAGCCACCATTTCCGATTACCGGAGCCGGACCTAGTACCCTTCATCCGATGTGGTAATCTCATAGTCTGGGTACTTGTCCTTCAGAAGGCCAGCGGTGATGGAGTGGTCGGCGCGACCGTAGCCCTGCGAGTAGCCAAACACCTCCAGCTTCTTGGCGTCGGCGTGGTGCATGATCCGACCACCTCCCACACACTCGGCACTCAGACCCAGCGCCGCGATCTGCGCCTCAAACTTTTCAAAAATGTCCGCGTGAAAGGCACCCCACTGAAAGCCGCGCACAAAGTACTTGAACTCATTGTCGCCAGCGTCTGGAGACGTGTACACTTTGGCTAGAACATACTTGAATCTTCCGTTTGGGTCGATTTCTACCGGAGGGACACTGGCGAGGTCCGACGACGCCATTAGCTCGGCACTGAAAGAGACACCAGCAGCGCTTAGATAACTAATTTTGCCCTTCACAACAATGCACGATCAACAAACTACCCAAGCACAGAAACAAACCACTGCTCGCACCCACGGGAAGATTTTGAGCTTGAGCAACTAATTACACATTGTTAACCCTAGAACGCCTAGGGGGGGGTTGTATCAACCCCCCCCCCTGAGGTTTTTTCGAAGTGCACGCTAAACGGCTTGTCGTAGCGGGCTGAAATTTTCAATGCCCTCTGGGGCAACCTTTGCGCATCTTTTGCCGAAAAAAAATTGATCGGGTCATGTCAGGTCACGGAGTTATGACGTCATAAGAGGTACAGCCTCTGGCCGACAGTTACCAAACGTGTGCGCCGAATCCGAGTAGTAAAGTAATCTTGCCGAATCCCTAGGTTTTCTGCTGGTGATACCCACATTGTTTGATGGATCATGATGAAACTTCCCATGCATGTTGGGGCAAGCATTGGCTATCGTGTGGTGCAAGAAAATTGACCGGGTCAGGTTAGGTCACGGAGTTATGACGTCATAAGAGGAACAGCGTCCGGTACTATTTTTGAAAAGCGCCCGAACCACTATTTTGCTAATTCTTGTCACCTCAATGGGAATATGCAGCAATATTAGCTTCTATAGGGAGCAAATGGACCTCCCAAATCCGAAAATACAATCAGATTTCAAAAATTTAAGTTTGTGATCTTGTTTAATTGTCGGAACGCCTCTTGGATGTAGGGCATTGTTTCTACTTGAATATTTGTATGTTGGTGACCTTAAGCCCTAGTGTAAAGACAAAGAAACCAGACTGACCTCCAGATGATGTTGAAGACGATGCTGTAGTCGACGATGATGAGGAGAAGACGACGAAGAGAAGTGTGCACAAATTTTCGGCCCTAGGCCATCCTCAGGTGATGAGAGGTGAGGTAGAGGTAAGGAGGGGGAGGAAGACCACCACCTCCGACGGTCGCCGCGGCGAGGCACCAACTAACGCCCGACGGAGGTTTGAAAAGACACCAGTTGGCGCGCGAGGTGACCTGCAGCGCCACCTGTCTCGGTACGCCATCTGTCGGTCACCGTTCGGACTGGCGACTCCTTCAGCCGCCGGTTATAATATCGGCCATGATGTGGTTTGGGTGTTCAGCGATGGTCTGCGGTCTCGAATAAATAGCGATTCTGCGATTTTCCTGTTTGGGCCGTCTTTGCATACCGTCAAGATGTTGATGCGGAAGCAGTTGTTGATGTCTGTTTGTTCGTTTGGGTGGCAGGTAGTCATGTGGTCGCCGAGGGGAGTGTCCTGGTTTCTGTGCCGCGCGTCTCGGAGGTGCTCGTTAAATCTCAGTCGCACGCTTCGTCTTGTCTCTCCGATATAAATATTCCGCGTCTTTACCTTTTCACACAGCTCACAGGCTATCTCATAGACCACATTTTTTGTGTGACACCTGCCACCCAGACCGCTCAAACAAGTCGCGCATTTGCGACCCCCTCCAGGGCAGGGGGGCGGTTCCAGAGCGGAGCGCACTAGGCTCTTTTTGAGGCTATTGTCGTTTTTCCACGCCACTTGGAATGCCAGCCCTGACGCCCGGACTGTGCCCTGGATTTTGTGAGCGAGCGAGTCATCGATGAATGGCAGTGAGATGAATGTTCGGTCATCTTGGCGCCGCCGCGCCCGGCTCTGTTCGGTCTGCCTTTCCCGAGGTATCGACATCACCTGGGCCGTAGAGGAACGAACCAGACGCGGCGGGTAACCGTTTGAGATGAACAGATCTGTCACCTTGGCGACACTCCGGTCCCTTGCGGCGGGGTCAGATGACAAACGCACCGCTCGTTTCAGCTGTGTCTTCAGCACAGACTTTTTCATCTGAGCGGGATGAGCAGAGTCATATGGCATAATGATTGGGGCTGCCATGGGTTTGTAGTAGTACTACAAACCCATGGCAGCCCCAATCATTATGCCATATGACTCTGCTCATCCCGCTCAGATGAAAAAGTCTGTGCTGAAGACACAGCTGAAACGAGCGGTGCGTTTGTCATCTGACCCCGCCGCAAGGGACCGGAGTGTCGCCAAGGTGACAGATCTGTTCATCTCAAACGGTTACCCGCCGCGTCTGGTTCGTTCCTCTACGGCCCAGGTGATGTCGATACCTCGGGAAAGGCAGACCGAACAGAGCCGGGCGCGGCGGCGCCAAGATGACCGAACATTCATCTCACTGCCATTCATCGATGACTCGCTCGCTCACAAAATCCAGGGCACAGTCCGGGCGTCAGGGCTGGCATTCCAAGTGGCGTGGAAAAACGACAATAGCCTCAAAAAGAGCCTAGTGCGCTCCGCTCTGGAACCGCCCCCCTGCCCTGGAGGGGGTCGCAAATGCGCGACTTGTTTGAGCGGTCTGGGTGGCAGGTGTCACACAAAAAATGTGGTCTATGAGATAGCCTGTGAGCTGTGTGAAAAGGTAAAGACGCGGAATATTTATATCGGAGAGACAAGACGAAGCGTGCGACTGAGATTTAACGAGCACCTCCGAGACGCGCGGCACAGAAACCAGGACACTCCCCTCGGCGACCACATGACTACCTGCCACCCAAACGAACAAACAGACATCAACAACTGCTTCCGCATCAACATCTTGACGGTATGCAAAGACGGCCCAAACAGAAAAATCGCAGAATCGCTATTTATTCGAGACCGCAGACCATCGCTGAACACCCAAACCACATCATGGCCGATATTATAACCGGCGGCTGAAGGAGTCGCCAGTCCGAACGGTGACCGACAGATGGCGTACCGAGACAGGTGGCGCTGCAGGTCACCTCGCGCGCCAACTGGTGTCTTTTCAAACCTCCGTCGGGCGTTAGTTGGTGCCTCGCCGCGGCGACCGTCGGAGGTGGTCTTCCTCCCCCTCCTTACCTCTACCTCACCTCTCATCACCTGAGGATGGCCTAGGGCCGAAAATTTGTGCACACTTCTCTTCGTCGTCTTCTCCTCATCATCGTCGACTACAGCATCATCTTCAACATCATCTGGAGGTCAGTCTGGTTTCTTTGTCTTTACACTAGGGCTTAAGGTCACCAACATACAAATATTCAGATTTCAAAAATTTAAATTTTGATTTTTCGAATTTCTGCCGCCGACTGTGACCTTGCCGACTTCCGGCGCTCCCAACGCGCCATTTTTAGAGCTAGGGAAACGAAATACATACCAAACGATAGAGAATTGATCAAGGAACACGATAGTGAAGGTTTCAAGTCGATATCTCTCACCGTTTTGCCGCAATCGCCGCGGAAAGTTGAAAAAAGTCTATTTTTCCGAAAATTTGACCTTTGACCGGTCAAAAGTAGGTCAAATGTTGACCTAGGACCAAAAAATATACCACCAATCGCGAGATCTCGTTGAGAGCAATCCGTTGGTTTTTTCCGCTAAGCTCTACGACCTTCCGTTTCGAAACGCCAGGGGGGGGGGGTCGTAACAACCTGGTCGTTCGTGTTATGAGAAATGGCCTGGTCGTGCGAGGGTTAACATTTTCTAATATGCTTATCATTTAGATCCGTTTGTACTACGATAAAATTGTACAGTATCTCCACGCAACCGTTTTCGGCATGCCTTTTGATACGCCATTTCTGCACAAGTTAAAGTTCAGACTCATATCCTCAAAGCCAGGTAACCCACCAAGTTATGTCAAGTGACTTAGAGCCTCAAAGGGTTTTTAGGGCCATCAGAGCTAATCTGGTCTCTGACTGGCTGACTGCTTTGCAACTTTTAGTGATTGATAAGTGACACAATGTACAAAACTCACACCGATCCCAGATTTTCAATATCAGTGACCAAAGGTCAGGTTAATTTTGCAAGGTCTACATTGCCTGCATTCCACTAATATGATTTTTGATGCTACTTCGCTTACCACACATCACTGTGCTGCCCAGGAAGCAAGTAAGATAAGGGTTGGGGGTAGGATGCTGACTGCTGAGCATGAGCCAAGTGGGTGCCAATGAATCATGCCTATTTAAGACCAGAAAAGCCACGATTGATTGAAACTCAGAAACCTCAAGCTAAAAAAGACTTGACTGCAAGCAAAGTGACCTACAAAAATTCCCAACTTCAGTCAAAAGCTTTGAAGTTAGTTTAATTTGACTTGACCTATGACTTGACATTGAGATTGACCAATGTTTATGTTAACCCTCGCCCGCACATGGGGGGAGAGAGGTTGCCACCCCTCCCCCAGGTAGTTTTTTGTGAAGTTTCTTTGACTGTATTTTTGGTAAAACCTTCTCATTTCATGATCTTATGTAATATGGACACATAAGCAATCGGTGCACACATCAGTATACACACAGACACACAGACATACAAACACATATCATTGACCTTGACCTAACTTGACCTGAAATGACCCCAGCAGCAAAAACCTGGTCGGATATGTGACAAAGAGGTTCTAGCTGGCTTGGCACCACAAAACGGCATCATCATCGGTATATGATGAGCAGCGCACTTGATATCCAACGGTGACCCAAAACAGCAACATTTTTTTGTTTGACCTGACCTGGAATGTCAATGCCTGACCTGAGAAGGTAAAACTGGGTATCAGTTCTATGAGAAAAAACACTTTTAAATGGCCTCCTTACAATAAAATACCGAAAGATCAAATAATGAAATAATTATTGATGATTTCGACCACAGGTCATAATCAAAATAAGCCAGACAGAACTGTTCTGTCTGGGTTATTTTGATAATGACCTGTGGTCGAAATCATCAATAATTATTTCATTATTTCATCTTTCGGTATTTTATTGTAAGGAAGCCATTTAAAAGTGTTTTTTTTTTTCTCATAGAACTTATACCTATGCCTTACATACAGCAAGTGCTTCAACAAGAAAACTGGGTATCATTGGATTCGTCTCTTCCCAAAGAATCTTTTTCGTCTTTACCGCGAAGCTCTATCTCAAACAGGAACGAAATGGCGCGGGGGGGGGGGGTGGCAACCACCCCACCATGTGCGTTCTAGGATGGGAAAATGGCATGTGCGGGCGAGAGTTAACCCGCGCACCGACGCGTCGATGCGCGTCGGTGATAACCGCCCCCCCTGAGGTTTTTCGTTAATAGCGGGAAAACCGCGGCACGTAGCGCCGCCAAATTTGCTTTGACTATTCTCTCATCAATTTTACACATGGTGTGCAAGTGTGAACCTCCTAACGCTTAAGGTCAGGTCACCAGGTCACTTTGAATGACCCAACCTCGTCACTTTTTTGCAACTTTGTCACCGTGTCAGAGCTACAGTAGATGACGGAGGCCTTTGAAAGTCGCAGGATGTTATTAGGTCATTGGTAGCTATAATTTGTATATCTCGGAATTTTGATATCCATGACCTAAGGTCATGGATATCAAATTCAATTCCTCGACCTCCCCATTATAAGTGAATGGGGGAAAAATCAACTCCGTTTTTTTCTCACTAAAACGCTTCGGAATGGCCCCATATACCATACATGACTTCATATGCGGTCAAGCTTCACTACCTTGAGGTCTGTTTTGCTGTTGGCCAGTTGTAAGGTCATGTGAGGTCATCAAAGGTCACCAACGGTTGTTTGCCAATAACTCCTTACAGGAACGAGATACAGCCGCGCGGATGGTCTCATTGTGTTCAGCTCGTCAAGGCGCATCGATTGATATACAATTATACATGATGACCTCGAGGTCACGTGACCTGAGGTCAGCCTTTGACCTTATATATATATATATATATATATATATATATATATATATATATATATATATATATATATATATATATATATATATATATATATATATATATATATATATTATATATATGTTACAGGCAAAGTGAAAACTCGGGCATTTTGCAAAATGCCTAGGCAATTTGCAAAATGCCTGACCGGCTAGGCATTTTGCAAAATGCCCAGGCAATTTGCAAAATGCCTGACCGCCGACCGGCCAGGTATTTTGCGAAATGCCT